TTCGAATCTATCTCGTAAAACCACGTTCTATATTACATCGAACTAGGATTATTTTAGAAATCGATATGAGATTCAAAGTGTAAAAATGTCTAGTACTTTGAATGTTTTAGAAAATTATTCGAGATAAAAATGTATGGAACTACTGAAAATTACTTTAGATTCATCTTCTTTACTCTGTAAATTCTTTGATTGGAATATGAATGCTGCTGGCAGTAGGAACATTTTCACAGGACAATGATATAAATGGAACTGTAAAACTTTTTTAAGTGTTACAGCGATATTTCGTTGGCCTCCGTGTTAGCGCACTGCGCTGAACGCGGATACCATGATGTTGTAGTCGCAAGGGAGCAATTGAATCGAATAGACGTATTGTACCGTAGCGCATCGTATTGCATTTGAAACTATTATATCATTATAATTTATATGTATATATATATATTCCAATAAACATACGTCAGGTAATATAAGCTTCATTTCATCGAATTGTCTTAAATATAACTGCATAAATATTGTACAATCCTATACTAATTATAGTTGTCTGGTTCAACAGGTTACTACAGAAACTAACTACTGCCTACGTCTTTAAAAACTTGGGCTGTAGTAGTATCTGCAGAAACTGCCATCGCTGGGTTACTATATAATTTGCTCGCGGAAGCACGCACAAGTGACAGTCAGGTTTTGAAAGTTGCACGAGCAACGTTAGACCGAGCTCGAGACTCGTACGAGCAACAACGATAAAGAATCACGTATCAAAACTCTTCTGCATTCTCCGGGGGTTCTATGACCCCACTTCCTCACAGATACGGGTCCCTGGAGCCTCCACCGGGGGTTCTATGACCCCGCAATCTCACCACACGGGGTCTCTGGCGCCTCCGTCGGGGGCTCTGTGACCCCATGTCTCACCGCACGTGGTCTCTTGCGTGTGCTCCTGGGGTGTTATGACCCCACTTTTTCACGCACACAGGGTCTCTTACTACCCTAACGCAGAGTTTCATCTATATAGAAGCATGTCACAATATCAGAAAAAATTGCTATTTCTTAAAGGATTGAATACAAATAATCAAATTACAAAATGGTTTCAGTTAGAGATTGCGATTTTGTTATCTTGAGTGAATTTGCTCACTGCGATCGTAAGTCCTTCATCTTTAAACAGAAAAACGTATTCAATATGGTTTTACGATGAATTACATTACTATTTGTGTTTGTAAAAATCAGTAGAAAAAACAAGAAATTCTCAAAGAATAATTTGCTAGGTAACATGTAGATTATAATTTATAATCATTAATTTATTCATTATTCTTCATTGTTTCTAATTATTCCTTCACCTTATACGATATAACTCGAATTTTTGTTTTGATGTCGTTAATATAAAATATACAGATTGTGTCGCGTGTAAAGAACTGTTAGGTTTCTCTACCAATCAGAAACGATCACGAGAAATCACGAATCACTGTGAAAAAGCACCGTGATTGGGAACGAACATGATCGAATCACGAGTGATTCACAAGTAGCAGTTCACGCCATCTCTAATCCGCGCGAACTATTCTTCGGTTGGTCTCGCCCGGAAATTCGTTTCTCCCGGGCAAGTGCTGCACCAAGCGGCCAATTCTGGAAAAATAGTAGGATTCTACCCGTTTGGTTCCACTCGGCGCAAAATATTTTAATTCGTAGTAATTTAAATCTCGTTGTCACATATCACGAAGGACTCAGTTTTTCAATATTTTGACGAGGACAAGTGGGTGCGAGAAATCAAGCAATGGCATATCGGTAAAAATACTTGTTTTTATTACATCGATAGGATAACTCGTTACTGTTATTAGCGAAAAGAAAAAGATCACGAGTCGAGTTCGTTACGAAAAAATCATGTTTGTCGGTCCATTGTGACTTGTTCGATACAATCTGACGGGTACAGAGCAATGATAATGAGACGATGACAATAATAATACTTAAATCAATTAATAATCGTAACTCTTCAATTACTCTTTTTTTTTTGTTATTTCTTCTTTCCTTAATTCCATTTTTTTTTCTTTAGACGAATCACAGAGAGAGAATTTAATTTGTTATCTTCCTCGCGTTAACATTATATATTCATTAAACTAAACTTCTGAAATAAAATATATATATATGTACGTGTATATACATATATATTTATATATTTATATATAATATATTTGTTCTTTTTCTTCACATATATCTTCCATCATTCTCGTAAAGCAGCAGCAGTTTAACACATTTAGAAGTATCTCGAATATATATAAATTACAAGAGGGGCGGGGTTGTGGTGGTGGTGATTGGGGTGGTTGGAGTGGGGGATACGTTACAGCTAATAAAATGTACATTCATAGTTCGCTATTATGTATATATCGTACAATAAAAAAAGCGGATAATCGGTGACAGTAGTGGTAATAGTTGTAGGTGGCGATAGTAATAGTAATCAGCAGTAGTTGTCGTATTCGTAGCAATCGTGACGGTAGTGTTAAATAGTAAATAATATAACAATAATTAGTAGCGGAAATAATTGCGATAGCCCCTAGATTGCGAGATGTATGTACATACGCAGTCAGCGTATCTATTGTTCATTTCGGTTCAGTGAAATTACAATACCCTTATCGAGTCTTTCTAAGCGCCGATTCCCTTTTTCACGCCGTATTACAGTGACACGAAGCGCGTGTACGTGTTTCTTTTTTACGCTCTAATATGAACAAGTGTTACCGTGTTCTGTCTGCTACTTACAACGTATGTATATGTGTATTTGCTATACATTCGAAAAGGTACATTACGCACAGTACGTATAATTACACTCTTCCATTCTCACCGAACCTAAATATTTATCCTCTGCTGGTTTTGAATTCACGATTAATCCTCAAGAAAAATTGTGCAGAGCCGTTTCAATGGAAACTGGGCTGTGGGGCGTAGGACACACACACGTTCGGAAAACGTTTTTATTCGTATACAGGCATATGTACATGTAAACTGCACTGTCCACGTTCGTACGATTCCTTTGAATCGTCAGCTAAATAAAATTAAACACCGCCAGCAAGCGGCCAGGCATCGAAGTCTCCGTGTCGAGCGGCACCTTAGTTTCGATGCTGGAACCGAATCTTATATCTTTTCCGTGTTTAATGTACATCGTTGCATCGAGAATTATATTCATCGCACGAACGTTTTATATTTAAAGTGAAGACGACACGTTCATCCGCATGACAAAACTGATTCGAACGATGAACGGTTTATTCGTAATTGACGAGGAGACGATGCCTAGTCGCGTCCCTGTCCAACCCATACAACGCACAGAATATCGAAAATACGCATAGAGATAGTTCCCTGAGACTGATTATAACGATTGAAAAATCTGTATACAGAGCGAAATAAAACGCGCGAGTCTGGCTGTTACTAAACAACTCGTAGAAGCTTGGCGACACGGAACTCTCTTTCCGTCGAATTCGACGCTTGACGCACACTTTCATCGTGACACGATCGTCTCTAAGTACGTGGATAATTAATTCCATCGAAAAAGAAGTACCCAAAACAGGAAGTCCCTATTTTTTGATGAAAAATTTACTAAACTCCGCTCGCATCGATGGATCCTCCAACGCGTTCACTGCGTAGCGTGCTCACCTTCTCCGTCATATCGAACTAACATATTCACTATTATTCCAAGTTATACAATACTTATATCACTGATCAGAAAATATCAATTAATCAATAATATCAATAAAATTGAACTAGATAACAAAATTTGCTAACTCTTCGTGAAAAAGTTTTAAAAGGAACAGAAACGTGTCCGCCACATTGGTATCACACCAATCAACAACGAGGTTCCAACTATCAAAACCCACAACAACAGTGAACGCGTTATACAACCGGTTTTCCCCAGTTTCAACGTAAACAATTTCAACTTAATACTCCAACGTCGTCCACGGAAATCCGCTCTAATTCGTGAATCAAAACGCGAATTGGATGAAAGTTATTGCACAGTGGAACGTTTCACGACCCAAAATCGGTACGATATTTCTAACGTCGTTCTCATTTTCTATATCCGTCCGGGGATCGACGATCGATCGCGTCCATCGGTTGTAAAAAAATTGCTTAACGAAATTGCACATCCCAAAGAAGAAAGAAAAAAAGGAGAAAGGAGAAACAAAAGAAGGAAAACATAAATGCTCCACTTTCGACGACTAATCAACACTTACTAGCCTAGGGCGGTAAAGATTTAACTGCTAACCGGATTTAATCCCTTAATCGACTCGTTGGACTACTAGTACAAAAAAAGAAACAGGAGAGACAGGGAAGAGGAAGAAACGAAAAGTAAACCTAACAAGTGGTAACACGTGAAAGCCATTGACGAATTCGACGTTCGCGGTCCGACCGTCGTTCTCTGCTGGCCTGAAACAACGAAACGTTGCGACATCGTGTGTACACCCAAGGAACGCAAAACAGATAACAACGGTCGGCTCGCATGAACGTATTCTAAGCTCTCTGAGTATCGATCCCTCCCAATCGTGTAAAATCGTGGTTTGGGAAAAGAAGCGTGTGGACATGTACAAACACATATACACACACACACACACACGCACACACATGCACACCAGATCCGTGGTTGCGATAAAAAATATTTCTAGATCACGTCGTATATCTCTTCTACTCGCGATCGCTGCTCCCCTCCCGGGCTCACTTCCAGGATCCGACTCCATCCGCGAGGACTCCGCACGGGGCTCTTAATTCGAGATTAAACGCTTAAATATTCAAGTAGTATCGTACGATTTTCGGACAGGAACGATGAATCGTGCTTCGATAGCTGCATCGACAGCGAATCCTCAATCTAGAAGCGTTACAATTAAAGGACCGATCGCTCGGCACTTGTTAATAAAATATCACTGTTCTGACGAATAAACACGAATAGAATATCCTTCAATAAATACTACTAATAATAGAGTGCGTCACAGTTCAGTTGTCACACCGTCATCGATCATCGCCGGTCGATCGTGGCGTCGGCTGCTCAATGTGACCGTACCTTTTGCACCAAGGGATCGTGTCGCTGTGGTCAGGTATCCTTCCGGTCGAGCGAAACCGTGAAAAGGAGAACGAATTGTGGTCGATGAATCGGAAATTCGTTCGTATCTCTACGTCCGTACAGTCCAATTCCTCGTGTTCAATCGGTTGTCTTGTTACCCTGTCGCGTTCTGCCTTGCCTCTTCGGCGAACTGCTCGAACTCTTCTCTTTCTTGGGCACATCCTTCGCTGCGGAAGTCGATGGTCTTGACTGGGGTGATGATTGCCCCAGTGTCGCCTGCTGTCACCTGAGGCTGATCACCACCTTCTCGACGTTCAACAGGGACCTCACTTTGTCGTTGTACTTGATCAGCGTCACCTTCGAGCCACGTACATTGATCCTCTCGCCGCCGCTGAGTATATGGCAGCACTTGGACGACTCCAAGAAGTCTTGAAGCTTCAACTCTCTCATCACATCGCGATGAGCGATCGCCGGGGGGCCAGCGTGAGCTTTGGGATTCACTTGACGCAATAAAGCATCCCTGCTCTTTATCCTCAGAGCTGCCATCAGATCCTGGAGCAGCACCCATTTGTCCGGGTCGTTGGTCAGGGTAAATAGAGCCGGCAGGTTCACGTCGCTCACTTCCATTTCGATTTCATCCAGTTCGGGCTCCGGACTGTCCATTGGAGCATCGTCGAGGGGATTGTAGCCGGATTCTTCCGGGTCTGTAAACGAATTATTTGTTCATAATTAGCTATGCAACACTAAGGATTACTGTTGCGTATGTACAGTTAGACTGCAAGAAGAACTGACTTGGAAGATTGTTTCTAAAATTAATTTCTTCTTCTAGTTGATCATAGGAATTGGTTTAAGTAATATATTCTATGTTGGTTAATTACCGAAAACCGAAGATGGTCCACCAAATGACCACGGCATGCTGGCCCGACCCTGAATGTCATCTAAGTGTTGTTCCAGAATTGAATAGGCATCGGTATCCGCAGCCAGCATCAATGGTGTCTGTCCTGAATAGGTAGCCAATAGGGGATCAGCGCCGTAGGAAAGTAATAATCGTACTAGTTCGGTAGCACCATTTTCTGCTGCCTCGTGAAGTGGCCTGAAACAATATAGGAGGTCGTATGTCAATTATACCGAATCATATTATATTTTTATTCACACAGTTGAGTGAAGATTAATGCGAATTATTACCTTATTCCCCCGTTCGCACTTTCACTGGCGTTTGCTCCGTACGCGAGCAATAATTTCGCAATCTCGAGATGACCCTTCGAACATGCTTCATGAAGCGGCGTGTACCCTGCATTGTCCTTGGGACTCGGTGCATTGTTCAATTTTTCTAGGCAGTACGCTGTGACGTCCTACAAATTCAGAGTAAATGTTTAAATTATAAAATCATGTAATACAAGAAAATAAGAATTATTAAAGAACGAGTTGTCTGAATGATCTGCAAGTTTACTTCATGAGATGAATAGCTATTTTTTGTACACAAAAAGGGGAAAGGAACTCATTTGTAAATAAACGCGAATGGTAGTGTCGACAGACTGTCAATTAAAAAGATGATTTACCGTGTAACCGAGTCTAGCAGCCCTATGCAACATCGTTTCACCGACACCTTTCTTTATCACCCACGTTCTGATTTCCGACTGGATGTCCGCGACACATTCCGGGCTGTGCCTCGTCAATACTTGCTGTAATACGAACACTTTGTTAAACAACAATTTTACATGTAACATAATCCACAAAAAATATTTCAAAACAATTTAAACATACCCTCTTCCTCTCTTTAGGTATCGTCTCGTCCTTTTTCAGAGGCTTCTTCTTTTTACGGATATAGTCGAATCCGGAGCGGAACTTCCGTCGACTCGTCCGGAGCTTAAGCTTCTTTTTGTTAGGAACTTCCGACTCGTTGGTCTCGTCATCCAGCTCGTTGTTCTCCGCCTCCTGGGCGTCGTTCGTCTCATCTTGCGCCGTCTCGTCCTCCGGCTCGGTCTTCAGGCTCTGCAGCTTCTTCTCCGCCAAGGATTTCAGCAAGTCCTTTCGTCTCTTCGCGATCAACAGATGCCGCTTCGAGTTCATGATCGCCTTATGACTCCTCAGGATTCCAGCGTTCTTCAAACGAGACACCACCTTCTGCTTCAACGTCCTCACCTTGCTCGCCGTGTTCTCCGGCGCCTCCGTCTGCGAATCGTCGTCTTGCGACGTATCGTCGTGATTCTGCATCGGTGGCGCTGACGCGGGCCTATCTTCACCGAACACTTCCCTGATCGTCGCCTGTTTCTTCAAAACTCGTGTCTCAGTCCTCGTTCGACTCTTCAACACTAACGTGGAGAACTCATTTGGCAAAGCATGATTGTTCTTGAACGTGTCACGGAAATTGTTCACCGTCTCCTTGCGGAAGTATCCGAGAAGGAACGAATCCGTTACCTTGATAGGCTTCAAAGACTTGCTATCCTTCGTCGGAGACTTTCCTTTCGACAACTTGGACGACTCCAACAGCGGCGTTAGGCTCGGTGTCGGTAACAGTTCCGGCTCGTTGTGGCCTTTCTGGGCCACCTTGTTGGCACCCTTCTCCATCTTCTCTTTTTGTTTCTTCTTCTGTTCCTTCTTGGTGGTGCCGACTTTCTGCGCCAGAACATCAACGATAGAACTGCCTTCGGACTTGGTGGATTTCGTGACCTTTGACGGACAGGAGATCGTCGTGGAGGAGGTGGCTTCTTCGTCGTCGATCTTGCTCCCAGGACCAAGCCCCGTGGTACTGAAGCTGTAGTTCGATTCCACATCGCTGTCCACGAGCTTCTTTCTGCTGAGACACACGTCCGAACTGTCCATCGACACAGACAGGGCTGGAGATCCCGGATCCAAATCTGGTAACGAGGTGGACAGCCTGTGAAACCTTGACGGTTTCGACACTGTGATTAATCTAGGTGGCATTCTCAAGGATTTTTTGTACACGTAGACCTCCTCCTCCCAACCAGGCCTGAAGTCACTGCCGTCTCCGAACAGAGGCTTTGGTTTGCCCTTCTGGGACGTAGACTTCGAACTGGAGGATTTTGATTCCTTTTCTGTTTTAAGCTTGTGAGGCGTCGTGTCCCTCGACCGTAACTTCATTCCTTCGGCTTCTGGGCCGTTATTCGTCGAACGCTTCCTGGCTCGTAGCCTGTCAGCCACCGAGGAACCATGACCGAACTCTGTACTGGCGTCGCTCTCTTCGCTGGACGACTCACTACCACTGGACGATTGCAACTTAATTCTACTTCCTCGACCAACCCTTCTCTTTCTACCGATTATCTCTTCCTCGCAATCGCTGTCCTCCTTCTTCATTTTCTTCTTTGCCCTTCGAATTAGCGGCACTTCGTCGGAATCATCGCTCGAGTTCTTATCCTCGTACTCCTTTGTGACCACCTCTGGCTCCTCCTTCACCTCGATTTTGATGTCCTTCGTCACCGAGGTTTCATCTTCTTTGCTGGCCTCTGGTAGCTCGTTCTTAACGTCCAAAGGAGATTCGACTTCTTGCAGTTCTTGCTTTATGTCCTCGGGTTTGATCTGGGACGACGTGGTAGCGTCCGACTCCTTGCTGCTGTCGTTACCCGTGTCGTCCAGCTTTGAGGTCACCGTGCAACTGGTCTTCTTCTTGCGACCACGTTTCTTCACCGCGTCACCCGTACGTAGCTGTTCCATAAATTTGTCGCAGGTGCTGGACCAGAAGGTGTCAACTTCCGTGATTTTGTCGTTCTCCTGGGAATTATAACAGATTAGTATTCGGGCGCATGGGTTTTGTTGGGTAGACGGAGTGTAATTAAATCCTCGTAGCGTTCCTATTATAACGGACATTGAAGCTAAATAATTTCACTAAAATCGATCCTAATACCAACATGTATACTATACGAGGTATTAACTCCCAGCAGAGGCAAAAGTTACCCTTACGAGTATTAGTCCATAATAACAGTATCATATTGTAAAAACTCCTCTCGAAATTAATAATACTGAATGATATTAACTCCAAAAATTAGAAGCCATTATTGCAGATATCAAGCCATAAAATTTATCTATCATATGCTTCCTACGATAACTATTATTCTACATTCAATCTACTTCAATCTCTCCCTACCATTTCCATATAACGTTCTACCACATTTCCTTTCAACGCTTCTGATATAGAACCCAGCACCTTGTAGAGAAATCGACAATGAGGGCCACCTACCTTCAATTCTATCTTCACAAGATCCGAGGAGGAAGTCATGCCCATGCACATAGCGTCGTTAAGGGGCACAGGTGGTTGCACTTTCGACAGCTGTTTTCTGTCCCTCCTCATCTCCTCCAGTGTCTGCCGCTCGAGTACCGGCATCTCACCCTCGGAATCGCTCTCCCTGAAGTCGAACACCGATGTCTCGGAGGAACTTCTGAACCCGCTGCCGCGTGCAGGCACCGTGGACGCAATCGCGGGCGCTGGAGCTGGCACAGGTACGGTTGCAGCCACAGGCATGTTCTCCTCCTCGGTTCTCGAGAATAGTCGCCTCCTAGGTGGCAAGCAAGCTACTTTCTCACGCGTCAACTTCGGAGGACTGCCCGCCGACGATCCCGACTGCGGAGCGGATGTAGACGCAGCGCTATCTATCTCTGTCAATGAGAATTGTGAAACACAATTGAACAATCCATTTTATGGAGTCTTGTATTCGGCAGTAAGGGTTAATTGAGCTTTGTGCCAGAGGTTCCAATTGAGCAATACGGTGCGAAAGTAAAAGTGCTGAATCCATTTTTTAAATTCGAAATGGCCTGCCGATATTTTCGTAAGACGAAATTGACAAAAATATATTCTTAGCGTTTAAATGTCAATGAAATATGGGTCGACTGCAACGAAAGTATTGTACAACAAAGTCATGACGCGGATAAAATACCTTTTGGTGTCGACGACGCCTCTTGAGATGGGGGTACAGCGATCAGCTTGGTGGTGAATTGGCCGGTCCCCACCTAGAACAGACGAAGACGGATTGTCAGTCGTTTCAGCGAATCGTTGCCAAGGGTTAAGTCGTAGGCTAGCAGCCCCATTCACCTGCTTAAGCTCCGCTTTGGTTCTGATCTTTGCAGCTAATATCGCGGCGAGGCCGTCGTCTTTGTCACGGTGAATCTGATTCTCAGCTCCCCGAGGTCCCAGGAGTGCCTCCTTGCCAGGTAGCGTGGCGGATGAATTTACTCTCGAGCCGTACAAGCTGCGGGGGGCTTCCTGAGTGATCGAGTCTACCGCTCTCGGCACATGGAACTTGTAATGGGGTGGCGTGTTGCTGTTCCGTTCCAGCAGACTCGCCGCCGTAAATGGTGACAGGTTGTGTCGTCCGATGTTTGTTTTCGGTTCGACTGGCGCGACAACCTTCGGGAATAGAGAACACTGTGGTGTTAGTCTGATAATACGGAATCCTAGCTACGAATGTTTCAGACGTTTGTGGTATCTTCCTACTGATATGGAAACACATGGTACAAGATTCTATGTAAAATTATACGCATAACGTGACATCAAGATTATCAAATCTTGGTAGCTTTTTGTTAGAGTAATTTGACAGAATTAAATTCAGTCGAACACCCTGTACTAAAGGGTTCGGTATAAGAACACCGTTTGCTGTACCTGGATCTTATCTTGCTTTTACCACCATGTGTCCACGGAACAAAAACTACAACAAAAGATACCTTATTTTGGAAACTCTGTTGACTATGATTCGCCAAGATAGGCTGTTGGCTGTTCATCTGTTCCTCCCTCTGCTGCTTGCTCTCCAGGCTATTCCTCAACAAGCTAAGAACTCGCTTGTCAGCTCCGGTGTTGCTCGGTGGATCGGCGGGTTGTCCGATGGATGTTCCTCCGGGAGGTGGTCCAGTCTTTTGGGGCTGCCGGTAGTTCGAGTAAATCGACTGGCTGGCGTTCAGTTGTTGCGGTAGAGAGTGTACGTTGGGTTTCGCGACCGGGGGATGATTGTACGACGGTGAACTATGGGTGACTTTAGGCTCGGCGGCGTAGCTTCTTTTATCACAGTAGGCTTGCTGGTATCTCGAGGACTCGGACGACGAGTAACCGCTGTCGGATCTCTGCTCGTAGGTGTTAGGCGCGACCAGGGTGCCGTTCGGCAAAGGAACGGGAAGATTCATCTCTTGCCTTTTTTGTTGCTCGTACAACGCTTTCGCGGTCGACAGCCTCTGCTGGATCCACGTGTCCAGTCTGGGTTGTTTGTGCGGCACCGCGGCACCGTAGATCGCGTCGCCGGGTCTCTTGGTGGGCGTTCGATCCCTGCGAGGCGGAGGTTGACCAAATTTGTTCCTATTATCCATGTAATATTTCGATTCGGCCGGATAGTCCGGTAGTGGTATCCCGGTTGATCCGATCCTGACCGGATTCACCATCGGCGGTGGATATCTGGAGGACCTGGACGACACGGAGTCGTTGGCCGACAGATAAGAGGACGACGGTACCGGCGGCGGTGGAGCTGGCGCTGTCACGGCGTCGTACACCTGCGCGGTGGGCAGTGAGGTCTTCTTGAACGAGGACATGTGGGGCAGTGGAGCGGTATTATTAGGATGCTGAGAGGAAAGAGACTGTGGTGGCGGAGCGTACAGCTGTTGCGCGGAGCTCCTCCGCTGTAAAGTATTCTCGTGCGGTTGGCTGTGATGGTGACGCAGCGGCGCGGAGTTAAAATCCGGCAGGAAATCAACCTTCGGCGCGCAGACCGTTTGAGGTGTGGACGCTCGAATGCCCGCCGTTGTCGGGACGCCCCTGTTGCTGTTGCTCGACAGTCGATTGTCGTAGACGGAATACGAGGCTGGCTGTTGCGGTGGTGTCTGGACAGGCGGTGGTAGCATACTTCTAGACCCGTTACTCCTGGACGAAATTACCGTGGAGCTGCTGACGTGTTTCTCGGTCGACGTCTCGATGTCATCCTGGGCGGTGGAATCGGCCGATGTTTTCACAGTTTTCACCGACAGATCCAACGGGGACTCTCTCTTTCGAACACCGTTGGTCTGCGGCAGAGGGGTGACAATGGTCGAAGCCACTGTGGACTGGGCCGTCGACGAGGATGAGTTCTGATAAGGATACTCCTTGTACCCGTAATCATCGTTCGCTCTAACAGGCTGATGATGATAGGAGGATCCTGTGCGACTCGTGTCCGTCGGTTGATAGCTGTGCATCGTCGTGTTCGCCGTTGGTACGGAAGATCTCGCGGCTACACCGATCGATGTGACCGTGGTGCTCGATGAATTACTGCCCTGATGACTGGGCGCCATCGTGGTCGCGTAGCTCGGGTAACTGTGCTGTTGCTGCTGCTGCTGTTGGCTCGAGTGTCTGTTGTACGAGGAATTCGTGACCGTGGTCGTCCTTCCGTTCACCGGCATCGCGTGATTCATCGCGGGCACCGTCGTCGAATACTCGGGGACACGTTGAGGCGCGGCCATCGAGGATGTGGGCGGCGTCACGACGGAAACTTTGTTCGGCGTGCTCGCGGTGTACGCGCGTTGCCTGTGCATCGGCTGCGCTTTGCTAACCGGCTCCCGTCTGTTGGAATGATAGGACGATAGAGCGGCGATCGGGGGAAGATTGTGCGTGTTGCTTCTTTGAACGGAGGCCAACGGGGATCGATAAGAGCCGTACGAAGGAACCTCCATCGTGCTTCTCTTGGAATCGACGCCGTTGTATGTCACCGGTTTGCTCGGATGATAGCCAGGTCCGTTGGTGTTCCCGGTTCCGGAGCAGATCGACTGCGCGGGTGGTCCGGGCATCGGCATCTGCTGGACGTACGTTTGGCTCTGAGATCGACTCGACTGTGAATAATAGTTCGGTTGCGACTGCGGCGGTTGGGGATTTTTTTGGAAGGAATGATACGAAGACTGTGGCTGTGGCTGTGGCGGCGGAGGCGGCGGTAACGCGTACGGATTTCCAGCGTAACCGGTGCTCGGTTGATAGTGTTGCGACGTAATTGGAAGGCTGTACGAGTGAGGGGTGGAGGTAGCCGGCGGTGGCGGCGGATAAGTCGGCGAATGGGGCTGGAAGCTGTTGTGAGGGGACGGCGCGTGATGAGGAGAGGCGTGAGGATTGTGCAGGGTGGACACGTGAGGAGATTGTCTGTGCGGTGACGGGGTGGCGTGATGAGGAGCGTCATGGGGAGAAGCAACAGGATGATAACCGCTCATCGCTGGGGGCGGTGGCATCTGATTAGAGGACGACGACGAGGAGGATGACGACGCGGCAGTCCCGTGAACGGTCATCCGGCTGTTGTATGTGTTCGCGTTGATCGAATGCGGGGACGCGTTTATTCGACTAGAAAGCTGTTGCTGGTGTTGCATCTGCGATGATTGTTGCGGCTGCTGTTGTTGCGAACGATGAGACGGCCCGATGGTGCCCGGAGACGGCAGATGCGACGAAGGAATGTGCGCCGGAAGATTCTGCGACGACGACGCTGCTGCTGACGACGACGCCGACGACGACGACGACGGAATGTGACTTAAGCTACCGCCGTGGCGGGGGCTGCACGGGTTCACCGATAAACAGGACGGAGACGAAGAGACGCGGGACGAATGCGATCTTTCCGAATGTACCGACCTGTCCGCCGGATTGCTCGGCAGGCTCGATCGGCTTTGCGTGTGGTGCTGCAGCGGGCGATAGTTCTGAGGCGTGGACGATCCATACATCGAAGGAGCGCTCGATGGTGGTGGCGCGTTGCCGCCGCCGTAGGAACTCGGTACCCTTTGCTCTTGAACGTGTCCTTGGCCAGAAACGCCGACGACGTTCGGCTGCTCCGACGGCGTCGGTCTGGTCGCTGACTGGATGTTTCCCGACGACGACGTCGCCACCGCTGCCACGCTGGCGGACTGATAAATCGAATTCTGGCTGAACGGGACCGGCGCGCTCTTCGTGATTTCCGGATGATGATAACGGGGGTAGTATTGGGTTCTCTGCGCGACAACCGACGGGTTCGATTGCGATTGCCGATCGTTGGCAGTCTGATAGGTCGACTGATGCGTCGATGCGAGTATTTCCGCGGTGGAGAAGGACGTTCTCGAGACGGTGCTCAGTTGCTGATAAACCGGACCCGGTGAGGCTGGTTGCGGCGGTGGTTGCATCTGATGCAACCGCGGCGAATTGGATTCTGTGCTCGTCGTCGTTGGCTGCGGATGCTGTTGGATGGTCGACGACGAGGATGCCTGTTTTTGGGTGTAGCTCGACGCGGACGATCGACTGCTCGACGGTTGCATCTCGGTTAACGTAATCGCGTTCGAGGACGACGAGCTGGCCTCCATGGAGGAAACATCATCACCTGGCCTCGTGTCCGGGACCTCGACTCTGGTTGGTTGAGGCGCATAGGGCTCCACGACCGATGGACTCCAGAAATTACTGGAACTCGACGCGCCGCCGTTGTCCACGGACGACGAACGGACGTCGCTGGTGGGATACCGACCACCAGTTTCTTGTTCGTTGCTGCTGCTGTTGCTGCTGCTCGAAGCCGATTGCGACGGTAACGGTAGTGACGGTGGTGCTGACGGGGTTGCGGAAGCTGGTGACGGAGGAGCCACGGACGAGGCAGTGCCATGGTCGTGCGACAACGACGACGACGTGGACGAGGCAGTACTCGTTGATGTCGCGAGATTATGATCCGCTAACGCGGTCGCACCACCTGTACTCGGTACGGGCAGTCCCTGGAAGTACTGGCGAGCCCCCTCTAATACGTTCGTGAAGCTCACATCCATGTCACACCGACTGCTGATCTGAAATCAGAAATAATCAGGTCGTTAGTTAACAATCTAGGTACCGATTCTGTGTTACTGGTTTATTTAATCACTTAATGCTAGGGTTCTTTGAAAAAATCACTGGTATCGGTTCGACGAAATGTCTATCTGAGTCTGAACTGACGGAAGTAGAGGATTTACTCTTGGAATTTTAGCGGGGAATAAACACTTGCGGTGTCCAAAACGGTCTCCGCTCGAGTTGGCGCAGAAGGAACACGCGCGGCGGGCGACACATGTTCGTTTTAACGTCTTAAGTTAACAAATTTTTAAGGAATGTTCACGAGGATTCTGTATGACCGTTGTACGAATGTGCAGCTTCTGTTTCGAAAGTGACATTGGTTCAATAGATGTCACTGAATAAGGTAGGTTGTCAAATAAATTCTGTCGAGTGTTACTTCTTCAATGTTCAAAGCAGTGACTACAAGGTTATCACTAAATTACGTTCACAGTAAAAAGTAAGAATGATCTGAAGCTTCCAGTTCTTTACTTAGAGGCAGTTTACTTTTTATACTAAGCTTCACCTGGAACATTTTCTCGTAGTACCGTAATCTTACGCCAAACGTTTACGACGAAACATGAAAATAAAGCATCCTGTACACCTTGCAACTACACACTTTATCAAGTTGTGGCAACTTTCCCGAGAGAGAAGCGCTTCGCGGTACATATTTTACAAAGTTTATTGAAACTGTTTAGAGAAAACGAAGTATTCTATGGAATATCCGGATAGGAATGTCAAACGAGGAAAATCGTTTAAACTCGAGGATCGTCGGCCAAACCGCAGGAACACAAGCTGGGTCGCTGCAGAGTACCGAAAACCCGGTTCACACGGTGCTGTTGGCTACCAGGACGGCCATGGAACCGGGGCGAAACATTAATCTTCATTGTCTTGTATTTGTCTGTTGCGAGCCAGCATCCCTCGTCCGTTCTCTCTCTCTCTCTCTCTCTTTCGCTTCCTCTGTCTCCCTCTCGCTCCCCTACCCTTTTATTGCCCCTATTTTCTCGAGCGAGCGACTTGAACTGCGAGGCGGCCCCGATCTCCTGTTATTAATCTCGTTGGAACCACGTTGCACCGTGAAAGATAAGATCATCGCGAGAACCGGCGAACCAACCTGCCGAGGGGGAACAAAGCGAGATTGTTCAGCGACTCCGATGACGTCCAGTTACGGCCCTAAATGGCCGGGATTGATAGAGAAACTCCTCACCGTGGCTCAATTAAGCGTAACTTCGTAAAATATCGTCGAGGATCGGGAGTAAAATTGACCGTGAATCACGATGGTCCCGAATGAACTGAATAAACATTGACATCGTACGTAAATATGTGAAATATTACAAAAGAACTGTAACGAAATTTAATTATATGTTTACTTTTAACACGATAAAGCATTTAACAGAAAAATTAAATTTCCCTTTAATTCCCATATTCGTGAGATTAGTCTCGAATAATGGGAATTTTCAGAATTGTCTAGTTACGACTAAACTATGGATATTATGCATTTATGGCACTCTAAATGCGAAACAGTAAGGTTTAAAATAGTTTCCACGTTACTTTCAACTTACTTTTAAAGTTCGGAGTGGTATACTGATTTCACTCTGGATAAGTTGAATTATACGTTTGCTTTATCTCGACTACAACAGTGGCTAGTTTACTTTTCTCGTTTACCAGATATCAAGAGGAAGTAAATGAACTTGTAAAAATGATATACCATTCCCGAATCACCGATCCTCATAATCCCATTACACTTTCTCCAAAAAAACCTTCCCGTACCATCTCTCTAGAAAAGCTTAAACAATACTCATCGGAACAAAATTATCAGACCCTTGTGTCCCTAAAGTCTCCAACATCGTCTCGATTAAAATCGACTAAGTTCAAGTGTTCATTTTTATTTTGACCACAATACATAAGACTTGCAAATTTTAGAGTGGTCTTATAGTTATGCCACGTAGTGTAGACATCAATAGGAACTAGAAAAACTTATAAAATAAAAATACCACCCTCCCCGAATTACCGAACTTCACGATCCCAGCGTCCCTTCATCCAAGACGACCATCTTTCCATATGTACCGAAGCCTAAACAATAATCATCGGATTAAAATCAATATACACTAAATCATCGATGAGTGTTCGAAGGGTCCTCAGCACTGACAAGGAGAGGTCTCCAGGTATAGCGTTGACTTTTTTAAACGAGGTTTAGCACAGCGATAGCCAACACGGTGACTCTTCGTAATCCCAGACAGTAAACCCTAAACTCTCCAACATCGTCTCCATTAAAATCCACTAAAACGATCATTACAGAACTCGGAAAGGGCCTAGCCCCGAACGGGCGCAAAACACCAATTCCAGTGGCAGCGATTTATACGAATCCTCGAAAAGCCAACGACTCGCGGATCGGCAGCTATCATGATTCACCCTTTTCACGGAGTTCTCCGTGACTCGACGGCGAATCCTATCGAGTACCTCACGAAGAAGAAAGAGAGAGAGAGAGAGAGAGAGAGAGAGAGAGAGAGGAGTGAGACGGAATTCTCGGATATCGAAGGGCGCCAGAGATCCTTATCCTGGCGGAGGCAGCCACTCGAGCGGCGATCGTTATCGGTTATCAGGGAAAGGAGAAAGAGGAGACACCGTGGCGGCTCTATAGCCCCGCCGATCGCTCGATCGTGTCGTGGCTCATTGAGACGTGCAACGAGCCGTCTGCATATAGCGGGAGAGGCGCGGGAGAGGCGCGGGAGACAACTATGGCTGGGCCACCACCATATCGGTTCCATGGTGTACAGTCAGGTAGGTGGGTTGAGAAGGTCGGTGGAAAGCGTCGCCGAGGCGAGAATCAATATCGTGCACCCTTGGCGAGAGCCGAGCCAGGGCCAAGAGGGTCTTCTCGTCGCTTTGGTCCCGTTTGCGAGGCGAGTCAAAGGCCCTTCTCGAAACCATCGGCTTTTACTCTGTCCTTCTTTCGCGGTATCCTTCTCGCCCTTGTCTCATTCCAGCCCTAAGTATCACCCTCGTGGTTCGAATCACTAGTAAATATCTGCCGTTCTCTGTGCACGGTTTACCTAGGGACCTACCATAGTGAAAGGGTTAAATAGTAACGAGCTACGTGGAATAAAGAACAGTTGCAGTGTTAACAACTTTCTGATGTCAAGCAGTGAGAATTAAGCGGTTAAAAGAAGTTTTAAATAGAAAGAGGAGGTATTATACGATGAGATTGCATAGAAACATGAGAAGTGTATAAGAGCATGCATACAATTCTTGAAGAGTACTTTTGCTTACACAGTAGAATAAAGAACGGGACTGAAATTTTTGCACAACGGTGTATGTGTAATTGTTGAATTAAGGTGAGTTAATCTTCTCATTAGGTCACAAGAAGTTCTTCAGTCAATAAGATGCGTTTAAAGAATTCATTACAGTTTGAAAATTATCAGAGACATATTTAATTCACCGTTACCATTGATTAAAGAGCTATTTTATTTTTCACGAACGTTGAAACCGTTCGATGTTTACCGAGAAAGAATACTGGATGTTAATTGGATAAGTCAACGAACAATCACAAAAAGGAGTTCACCACACACAAAAGTAAGGGTATCAGACCCTCCCAATTCTTGGACGTTCCTCGGTCAATCTGATTCTCCCCTTTGCTCGTCCGGTCTCCGGAGAAATCAGACCTGCCGGGAATTCTCGCTCGTTGAATTCGATAAAGGGTCTCTAGAAATCCATCACCCCTGAAATGGTACCTATTCATTCGGTGACCTGTAATATCGAAAGATAGAAGATTCTATTATAATTCCTCTGGACAACAGTGTCGACCTAACTGGGTCATTCAAGAAGTGACCCGCCAAATGTCGTGTATTTAAATCCCAAATTAAAGTGATCAGCCAGTACGCAATCCAAACATCAATTCATCTAACTTTTCCTTTTATAGAATATAGTTCCCTCGGGGGAAAAAATTAATCACATGAGAGGCTAACAATTTTATTTCAGCTAAAAAAGCCCAAATCACTTGCTTAATGTGGTTATCATCGAAATATTTTCATCGCAGAACAGTGCAATGATACGTTTGTATGAAATCGTAAGAAAGAACAGGCACATTAAGTACTTAATCTAATACAGACTCTCCCGCCAGCTCTTGTGCCACTGTTATAAAGACAATTTGTACCAATCTTCTGAGTTAAAATTTCAAGTTAATGTTGCTCGTGTTCTAAATCTACCGAATCTGTCACTCGTAACGACAGAAAGAACCAGATCCTCGGAAACCTCGGGTGGCCGGAATTCTCCAAGTTCCAGGAACTTCAAGGATATTACGAGTACCGGTAACTCGAGCGAGAGTTCAAAATCTTTGGAAACAGGAAGTCTGGGAAACCAAATATTATGTCGAGCAAGTTAAACACGAAATCTTCCCGCCAACCAAACCTTCCACGCGCCACGGTAACTCCGTGAAAACCGCGGGGATGCTTCGAGTGCCAGAAGCCAAAGAAAATCTAGGATTCCGCAAGAGTACCCCGGAAGCCGTGAAATCTCGCATAGAATTCAAGATTTTCCTCCCAGGAAAGACTTCTTCGAATATTATCCCGAAATATTTACACTTTTCCCAGAGAAGCTGAATAAAAGAAACTACGAAAAATGGTACCTCTGAATCACAAAAAGCTTTAAGCAAAAAAAAAAAACTGTCAAAGTCACCAAGTATTCGACGTCACAGTTTACAAACTTTTTCAAACCAAAAGTCCTCGAGGTCCCGAGAAAATTTTCCAAGAACTTGGAAATCGATTACAAAAGCAACAAAAAAGATAGATATTTGTCCGTTTCCGGAGTTACGTCGAAACATGGGGGAAATCGTGTACACGTTCCCGTCTCGGTGCGTCGTTCGAGCACGGAATATAAATGTCGAGAACTCTTGGTATAAAGATTGCGGGGGTCGAAGATAATCCGGTGGCGCTCGATTAAATGCCGCGACGCGGGCGTTACGACGCAACGGCGGATGGCAAGGTAA